GCCTCGTCACAATCCCCGCCCCTCGGACTGTCCCCCAGAGCAGAGTCTCACAGCGTCCACTGAACACCTGGTCTCGGGGCGGAGGCTCTGGGGCGCCGCCCGCCGGCAGGCCATGGCTGGGTCTGCGTTCGGCACCGCAGTCATGGCGCCTGCCTCCTTTTCAGCCATCCCAGAGTTCCACCAAAAGCTGTCCCTGCTGTCCTTCTGGGCCAAGTGCTGCAGCCCGCTGGGCGTCTACCACAGCCCGGCCGACAGGGTGATCGCACAGCTGGAGGCCGGCTTCGCCAGGGCCGTCAACGAGGAGCACCCAGGACTCGCCGACCCAGGTAGGCCGGCGGCAGGGAGAGCGCGGACCCGGGCACGAAGGGCCGGCCCCTCCACCTGCCAGGGCCGTGGCAGACTCAGCCACACCGCGAGCTGTGGTCCCGCGCAGACACTGGTCGGGTGCTGGTCTCGGTACTGCTGCTCAGGGCAGGCCCGTCTTCTCTGCAATGTCCCGGACAAGGCCGAGCCGAGCTCTGGAAGCCTGGCTGGCCGCTCCCTCTGAAGCTCAGGGCGCCCGGGCCGTGACCCAGCAGGTCCGCTCCTAGGTCCGTGAAAGGGCCTGAATGAGATTCCAGCAGCTCCCCACAAGACCCAGAAGTGCCCACCACCAGGGCACAGGTACATCCTGACTTACCCCGGGACCAGCTGGTGGCGTAAAATGGTTACATCGCTGGACTCCCACGTAGCCAACTGCAGTTCGAGTCCTGGACCCAGGTCCGTCAAGTTCATGTCAACACACGTGTATGCGTGCCAAAATCCAGAGAGGAGACTGGAAAAGGGACTGCGGCGTGGTCATGCCCCCGAGGGGTGATTTCACGCTTTCTATCTCTCTGTCTCTCCAGCGAGCACACATGCCCTGTAGCAAAAAATCTCTAGAAAAAAAACCATAACCTTTCCCCGTAATGGGGATTTCCACGCAGTTTTTGAAGACTACCTCGCCACTGTCAGCAGAGAGGAGCCCCCGGCTCCTTGACTGAAGGGCTCACATACGGAAGGTGTGTGTTGCGTGGCCCCGCTAACGACAGCCAGGAGCGGGCGAGCTAACTGAGTTGACAGAAATCGGGGTGTCCGTCCCCTGCCGTGAGCAGCTGGCTCTGGACCGCAGGGGTGCCAGTGCCCCGTGTCCTGGTGATCGGCAGTGACCAGGGCGTGTGCACACGAGAGCCCCCTGGCCCGCACCGCGGCGCCCCACAGGTAGCGAGTGACCGCCCGAGTGAGTGGCCGCGTTTCCTCAGGGCTGCATGTCCTCCCCCAACAGTGTTCCGAACACTGGTGTCCCGCATCCTGGACCGGGCCGAGCCGCTGCCGCCCTCCTGCCTGTCCTCGGAAGTCGTCACCATCTTCCAGTATCACAGCTACCTCACCAGCCACGGCGTGAGTGACCTGGAGAGCCACCTGAGCCAGCTGGCCAGGCAAGGTGGGTATGTCCTCGCCGAGTCACGCCGGCCTTCCTGCTCCAGCGCTGAGACGGTGGCTCTTCTCCCTTCCCCAAGGGCAGCCCTGAGCTGAGCTCTGCCTCGTAGGTGACCCCTGGACGTCTGCCATGATGAGCCCCGGGAACGACCAGGGACTCGCGGGGTCATCCCACCGCCCCCGGAGGCCGGCCAGGGCAGGCAGAGTCTGCTCGTTACAGCTCTGCCCTCGTGGGGCCGGGCCTGCAGGCAGGCTGCGCTCCGCCCCTTTTGGTGGAGTCTGCGTCTGTAAGAGACAGAAATGAGCATAGGGAAGTTTTCCCGTGGTGCACGCTGCTAAGACACTCTTCTCTGCGGGCTGGGACCCCGTGGGAAGCGGGTTCGATTCCCCATCCAACCGAAAGCTGGGTGTGGAGTACGCCCGAGATCCCAGCAACTCAGACGGCTGAGGCAGGAGGGTCGCGGGTTCGAGGCTGGCCTGGCAATAGCGAAGCTCTGCCTAAAAGGGAGCCGGCATGGCGTGCCCTGGAGTCTCAGCCAGGAGGCCTAGGCAGGATGGTGACACAGGGGGGCTGTCTTAGAGAGTGGGGAGGGAAGGGAATCGTGAACTAAACACGGGGCTGCAGACCCGGGGATGGGGACGGGGACGGCAGGGGCAGGGGCAGGGGCAGCAAGCGCGAGCCTTTTTTTTGCTCTGGGTCTCAGAGCCGCTGGGAGGGTCTGCGTGGAGCGAGCCCCTGCCCAGATGGAGCTGCCCAGAGAGCGAGCTCGAAAACCGAGCCTGTGAGGGAAGAGGGCCTTACAGCAAAATCCAGTGTGGCAGTCCTGGCGTGCCCACGTGCAGAGGCCACTGCCTTGTGACTGTGAGTCTCAGCGTCTGTGCTCCCTGGTGCAGACACAGCGCTGGCCCAGGGTGGCCCTGAACGACGGCCCCGGCCAGACACCCCCGCAGGGTGGAGGAGGGCAAGTCCTTCCTTGGCCGAGCTGCCCAGACGACTCAGACTTTCACGGTCTCCGTGTGCCACCAAGTGGGAGCCCACGAGGGCCACGGAGCAGAGCAGACAGAGTAGGGTGGCTTCGCCCAGGGTAGGGTCTGCGGATGGGCCCAGCTGGAAGACGGGCAGCGAGAGTGACACCTGCACATGTGCACGCACGTGGAAAAGCACCTGCTTCTAAAAATGCTCCTCACACACGCACGCACACACAAAACACGCCTTGCTTCCCTCGCACGTGCGGCTCCGCGGGCCTGTGGGGCCTACGGGATGTGCTGTCTGCCCTGGGCCTTCGTCACCGCGTGAGCAGGCTGTGTCCTATGCCGCGTCTACACACATGCTGGGCGGGGGCATGAACTCCCAGCAGCGCCTCCCCCACCCGCCTGACAGTCCTTCTCCCCACAGTGGCCATGGCTCAGGCCCTGCAGACGCTCCAGGCCGAGAAGCTGCGGCAGGCGGTGAGTGACCTCGTGCCAAGCCACCTGCCGGTGCCGCAGGAAGTGCTCCGCGCTCTGGCGCTGCTGCTGACACGGGACGACAGCGCGGTGAGCGAAGCCGTGACCCTGTGCCTGGCCGCAGCCTCCAAAAACGAGATCTTCCGGGAAAAGGTGGGACCCCAGTGCCCGCTGGCTGCAGCTGGTTTCACCTCGTGCTGGGTACGGTGCGGGCAGCGTCCGCTGGCTGGCAGAATAATCTCGCTCTCGGTTACACATACTCGGGGCCAGCGCTGGGCTGGTGACTAAAGGAGCCGGATCCCACATGGCCAGTCACGGTTTGAATCCTGGCCCCGGCAGACTGAAAAACACACGGATGCGTGCGTATGTGCCCCATGTCGCAACAGGACAGAGGAATGGAGGGTTGGGGCGTCACCACGGCCCCTGGCCCGCCCTCGCCCTCGCCCTCTGTCTCTGTCTCTGTCTCTGTCTGTCTCTCTCCGGCCAGTTTTGGAAACTGAACATCTGTACTCTGTAAACCATTGAAAGGACAGAAGCAGGGCAGTCGGGGGCCACACTCCCGGAGGAAGCCGTTAGGACCCGCGTCCGCGCCGTCACACCTGCTGTGTCGGTGTGAGCGTGACCGGCCGTCCCACAGTGGGCTCCCAGTCTGCCCATAGGATGCGCGTGTCAGGGCTGTTGCCTGGCCATGGTCGAGAGTACCAATCTACCTTACTGTGTTGTGGGTTAATGGCGTGTCTGTGCGGTGTCCTGTCATCTGTTTTATTTTAGGTTTTGTCATAGGGCGTGTGTGCTCACTGGGGAAACAGAGGCAGAGAGCGTGAGGGTGCTGTGATTCCCAAGCCTCCAGGTCAGGGCCTCGAGCTGTGGTCAGCCATGTGGGAGTTCAGTGCCTTAGCTACAATGCCACCTGCTGACCCATCATCTGTTTCTTTATTTCATACTGGTGGGCGTCCCTTAGTTCCTACCTCTGAACATATGTGTGCATGTGAGTATACACGTGTGCCCCCCCATGGGATGTGGTCACACCTGAATCCCTTCTCTGTTTTTCCATCCCATCAGGGTTTCGGACACACATGCACATGCATCTGGTGTGTTTTTCTTGCTGCCGGGGCTGGGATTCGAACCACCAGCTCCCTTGAGCATTAGACCATGGGCTGCTCCTAACTTGTATCTCCAACCTCGTCGTCCCCAGAGCCTCAGACCTGATAGAATATACGAACAGTTTCTTCAGTGGACACAGGGCCCTTTAATCAGCATGAGTTTTACTGAACTATTTGAGGGACCCTCTGGAGGGTGCCACATGCCTGGTTTTCTGCCGTCGCCTGTCTGGCATGACACGTGGCCTGTGAAGCAGCACGCGGTGGGCGTCCTCACGCTGCGCCCTGTCTTTCAGGCCCTGCTCTACTACTGCGAAGCGCTAACGAGGACAGACCTGCAGCTACAGAAGGCTGCCTGCCTGGCCCTGAGGAGCCTGGAGGTGAGCCCTCCGGAGCCCCAGCGCCCGGGCCGGCCCAGCCTCCTCCCCAGGCGGACGCACCTGTCAGGTGTTCCATGTCTCCGCTTTCCTTAGCTCAGGGCTTCTTCTCCTTAGTCAGGAGCTGCCCGTGGTGTGGACTCTGCGAAGTCGGGAAGGGACAGAAACCAGTTGTTTTGCGATGGCTCTCAGGAATCAGTTTGCTTTCAGGTTAGAAGAGAAAAGCATATCTTGTCCCCCAAGGAGATGATGTGGGGGTTTCACGGGCTTGTCCCCTCTGCAGCAGGTGGCAGGCACGAGAGAATTTGCCAAGTACTGACATCCGGCAGGCCGCTCCTTTCCAGGCCTCCCCGTCTGTCCTGTGGAGCCCCCCGAGTCTCCGCGTCGAAGGGAGGTGGCAGGACCCGGTGGGAGGGTGGAGCAGAAACAGTGCACGGAGAACCCCCGGCCTGAGCGTGTCCCCCTGTCGACAGCAAGATGGCATGTCCACAGACGTTGGACCAGTCGCCCTTGAGAAACCGAGTAGGCAGGCACACCCTAACTTTTGGAAGTCCGGCAGCACGAGGGGCAGGGGCTGCAGGCCTGACACAGGGAGAAGAAAGGGACTGATGCCCAGAGAAGGTCGTGGTTGGGAAGAACCGCTCCAACACCCCTGGCCTGCCTGGTCACGGGGTCAGAACCTTACCTCCGGGCCCCTCGCACACCACGGCGAGAGCCCTGTATCTGAGCCTGCTCCCGCATGCGACATTGCCCCCGGTGACGCCTATGACAGACAGGGTAACAGGCGCGTGGCTCAGCAGCCCACGCAGAGGTCGGGTGTGCCACTCTGTGTGGGGTGTCCATGCTGCAAGGTTGACAGCTTTCACCTCCCACGTGGGTAGCCCAGGCCAGGCTCCTGTCCATTTGTCCTTTCTCCTCGACAGCAGGGTCCTTCATGTGGAATAGGAGCCCTGTCCCTAAGCCATGCCTGGCCTGCAGCTCCCGAGAGGGTACACGCCGTGTGCTGCGCAAACAGCCTCTCGGGTTTTTTTCACCCGAACCAGTGACCCTGGGTGTTCCCTAAGGCAGGGAAAAGGACGTTTTGACAATCCCTGCTAGCAAGCGGATGCGTCCCATTTTTCTGACCAGGCTGGTCCAGGTCCCTGTCAGTGCGGCCTAGTCCTCAGCTCCCTCTCCGTGGGCCGCTGACCCACACCCTCCCGGCTGCTGAGGCACCTGCAACGGGGCCCCCCTGTCCGCCTTGCCTCCTGCCGGTGCCCCGCGCCTGCACCCTTCACGTGCCTCACCATCTTCCAACAAAGAGAAGTGTCCCATTACCCCGCTGGCCCTGGGAACCCGCAGGAGTCCGAGTCTCAGAAGGCAGGCTCCCTCCCTCCACCTCTGACCCTGCCCCACAGTCCCCATGTCCATGCCGCTCTGCACGCACATGCGTGGCCTCCAGCTCGCTGCTTCCTCACCCAGCCCTGCCCGTGCTCTGGGAGGTCCTGCTAGAAACCCCGAAGTCCACAGTGACCCCTCCTCATCCTCCCTGCCCACTCGTCTGCCACCCCATAGCCCCACCTTTGGTCTGTTCCCCTTCTCTGTCCCTGCCCACCCCCCAAGGGCAGAATGCTCATGACACACAGGTCCCACCTGAACTGTCCCGTGGCTTCTAAGACTCAGGTGGAGTGAAGGCACAGACTCCAAACTAAGCCCCCACCCTTCCAGGCTGTGAGCCCCGAGACAGGTCCCCGCCTTCTCCAGTCCCAGCCACCTTTGGGTTCTGCGTCCTGCCGTCAGCTGTCTCTCGTGTACAGTTTATGTCCTGGACTGCTCCTGCACCACCCGTCAACACGTGTGCACACACACGCACACGTCCACTGCACGCCAACTCAGCTGCTCCCACTTCGGGGAGCGTGCCCTGACCTCCCAGTCCCGTTCTGCCCTCTCTGGGCCCCACCCTGCTCACTACACCATCACTGTCCCCGGTTAGCCCGCGTCTTCCGCTGGAGTGTAGACCCCTGGGTGCCGAGCCGTGCCGGTTGTCAGGAACCCCCCACGCCTTGCAGACCACCTGACTCAGTCGATAGACGCCAGCAGACACCAAGTAGGAGAATCCGTGTGGCTGGTCTTCGTCCCCCTCCAGCCAGGGTGTTCTTAACTTAGCTGTTCGGCGCCGTGGGCCGTGGGGAGCAGCTAGTCAGGGAGGGCCCGTCTGGACCAGCTGCCCGCCCGTCACAGCTCCAGGCCTGCGGTCCCCTAGGAAACAGGGAGTGTGTGGGGTCGTCAGAGCTCCCGCGAACATAGGTACCAGTCTCCGTCCTGGGACCCTAGGCACAGAGCGTCCACGTGGCCCCCACAGCCCGTGCCCTCCGGGGAGGGCCGGGTCAGTGCTGGCCCTGGCTGGACTTGCAGCCCCAGGCATGGTGCTTCCAAGCCCTCCAGGCACTCGGCGCTCGCCAGGCTGGGCCGGGTCTCAGCCGAGCACTACCTGAGCTCCCCCCACAGGCAACTGAGAGCGTCAGGATGCTGGCGACGCTGTGTCAGTCCGACAGCGAGGAGATCAGGAGCGTGGCCTCGGAAACCCTCCTGTCTCTGGGTAAGTGGTTTTCGTTTGGGTTTGGTTTTTGTTTTAAATTTTTGCTATAGGATATGTGCTCTCCAGAGACGGAGAGAGAGTGAGAATCACCCCCTCTCTCCACTCTCCTCCCGGGATTCTGGGCACACAGCCTGGGTCAGGGACTCCAACCGCAGTCAGCCCCGTGGGGTCCAGCTGCCTCACTCAGCACGCTGCCTGCTGACCCAGGCGAGTGTCTGTGTGGTCGCTGGCCTACACGCTCAGGAACCGTGAGGAACAGTCCCCGCAGGCTGTCCACGCACATGCACGCAGCCCAGGGACCGGTGGGCCTCCCTCCCAGCTCCTCGCCCGAGGGTGGCCTGTGCACCCTGGGGCCTCTCTCTGGAGGTCGGGCAGTCGTGCGGTCCAGACAGCAGACCCTAAGCAGAGGAGTGGAGTCTGTGTGTGGCCGGGAGAGGCTGACACTCCCTGGAGGACCACGTGGTTGAGGCAGGGTTGAGGCAGCAGAGATGCACCCCAGGGACACGGAAACCCTCTGTGCCTCGCCCCTGCTCCAGGTCAGTCTCTGCTGCCCTGCTGGCCAGCACCCGCCTGAGCGACACAGGGACATTTCATTCTGGGGGCCCAGAGAGCCTTCCCCTTCACTGTACTTCAGGAAGGACGTGCCTAGCAGGGTCCATGTTGTTCCTTTTAGCAGTGAAGGAGGGCGGGGAAAACCTTTCCTAAGTCTGTGCTGAGGCATGGAAATAGAGGCCAGCTCCTCGGCACAGTGTTTAGGGCAGCGGGATCCCACATGGCCGACCACGGTTCAAGTCCCAGTCGGCCAGCCATGTAACCACTACGCCATCTGCTGGTCCTGCAGAAAAACGTACATGATTTTCCTGGGCCAGTAGGTGGTGTGGTGAGAGTGCTGGGTCTCTCACGGTAGAGCATGAGGTTTGAGTCCCAAACCCAGCAACTCCTGAGCCACTCCAGGCACACGGGTGTGCGTGCCCAAAATCCCAAGAAGAGAACGGAGAAGGGATTGTGGTGTGGCCATGCCCCGTGGGGGATGAGTTCTCACCATCCCTTTCGCTCTGTCTCTCCCCAGCAAACAAACACACCCTAGAGCAAAAGTCAAAAAAAAAAAAAAAACTGTGACCACCGTACGCTCTAGCGTGTAAGGACTGTGCTCCGAAAGCCTTCAGGCACAGCCGGTCCGGAAGGTCCTTGGAGAAAAGCCACCCGAGCGGGTGCGGTACTTAACACCGAGGGAGCCTCGCGGGCTCGGTAACGCCCTGAAAATCCCACTCGGGCGCGGGGCCTTCTTCCTTCCCGCCCGGGTTTCCGCGGCTTCCTGCCGTTGAATAGTCGTTCACCAGCACCCCTCGCCGGTGTCTCTGAAGTGAACAGAACGTCAGGAACAAGAACCCTGCCGTAGGCCGACGTGTGGCCCGGTTCTAGAATTGTAAACCAACCGAGCGGACCGTCAGGGACACCTGGGGCCAGCGGGCGGCGCGGCAGCTAAGGCGGCTGCTCCCGCAGGTCCAGGCACTCCAGTCGCACCCCGGACTCGGTGGCTCGAGACACGTGAGCATGCGTGTGCGTGCCCCAAATCCCGAGAGGAGAATAGAGGAAAAGGGGTTGAGGAACGTCCATTCCCCCGGATGGGAAATGGCAGCAGTGAAGGGCCATGAAGGGCCAGCCCTGTACCTTCGGCTGAGGAGCCAGAGCCCATGTGGCAGCTGTGGTTCGATCCTAACCCCAGCAGCTTGCAGAGCACGCCAGGTGCACATGCAAGAGCCCCCCAATCCCAACAGCTGGGAGAGATGGAGAAGAGACCGCACGGGCCACGCCCCCCGGGGTGCTTTCTGCTCCCCCCCTTTGGCTAGCATAAACAATAAGGACGGGAGGTGTCTTTCAAAGGCCGGGGGGCTCCTCCTCTGCGTCACACCTGGCCCTCTTCTGCTCTCTGGCATTAGCTCAGAAGTTCTAGGCTGTTCCAGACATTTCCTGGAAAGCGGCATCCTGACAAGATTCAGGAGACTTTGTCCTCCCTTTTTTACTTTCCCTAAGAGATATTTTATTTAACTTTATTTTAATTTGACCTGAGAGGGACAGAGTGAGAAAGAGAGAAATGAGGAAAGTGAGGAAGCAAGATGCCAGGTCCAGGACGCACATCCGGTCGGCCATGTGGGAGTCCAGTGCCCTTAGCCACCACGCCACCTGCCAGCCCTGTTTTTTTGTTTGTTTGTTTTTTGTTTTGTTTTGTTTTTTTTGGAGAGATTTTCACTGTAGGGCGCGTGCGCTCGCCAGACAGACAGAGAGAGACATAGAGACAGAAAGCGAGAAATCACCCCCCAGGGGGGATGGTCACGCCGCAATCCCTTCTCCTCCATTCTCCTCTTGGGATCTTGGGCATGCACGCGCACGCGCCCGGCGTGAGTTTTAAGCCACCAGGTCCGGGACACGAACCGCGGTCGACTACGTGGCAGTCCAGCGACATAGCCATTACGCTAACTGCTGGTTCCCTGTTTGTTTGTTTTTTAAGAGAGACTTTTTGCTATAGGGTATGTGTGCTCACTGGAGACACAGAGAGACAAGAGACAACGCGAGAAATCGTCACACCACAGTTCCTTCTCCGTTCTCCTCTCAGGATTTTGGGCATGCACGCACACGCGCCCGGTGTGAGTTTTAAGCTGCTGGGTCTGGGACTCAAACCCCAGTCAACTGCTTGGGAGTCCAGTGACATAGCCATTACACCATCCACTGGCCCCATGACTTTGCCTTTCCTAAGACAGAGTGCAGTGTAGACGCCATCCTAGACACGGGCTGCGGAGTGAGGCTGCTGTGCGTGCAAAGGTGGCCGGACTTGGGGCTCACCCGCACTTCCCTCTCTGCAGGAGAAACCGGGCGGCTGGCCTACGAGCAGCTCGACACGTTCCCCCGGGACTGCGTGAAGGTCGGAGGGCGCCCCGGGGCTGAAGTGGCCACCGCCTTCTAGTCGGCAGCGAGCTCTGCCCTGAGTTCTGCCTTCCCGCCGTCTCACTGTCTCACCGCCCCATCGCCCGGCTGGGGCCATGGCCCTGGATGTCTGGCACGCCCAGGTCTGCCAGGGGGACTGGGAATGTCACCTGGAGGGAGGATGGCGGTCCCAGCACCTGCCCGCTCGTCCAGGCCGACGGAGGGGGCCACGTGTAACAGAGCGGGTCACGTCGTCCGTCGCGTCTGACCGTACTGAGTGCGTCCTCCTACTACGGATGGGTGTTGAATAGCCATCTCGATCCTGTTTCGGAAGCCCTACACGCTTGGGATCACACGCTACTCCAGTAAAGGCCATACGCTTGCAGTATTTTCTGTCGTGTCCTCAGGGTTGAGTGACCCCCAACTCCCTAATTTTACTATAATTACAAAGCACCAAAAAAAAAAAAAAAAATTATTTTTGAAGACTGCCTGCAGATCCTGGCAAGTGTTTAACCCTTGAGTTTACCCTCGGGAGCCCCCACTCTTGCCTCCTACTCCTTTTCTCCACCCTGAAATTTCCGAGCTGGTGTCCTCGCTCTGGTTTAAGGGTGAGGTGACTGACGCAGAGCCTCCCACCGGGGTGCCTCTGCCCTCCACCTCCAGCAAAGTGCGACACTTACGCTCTTCATTTCTAGCAAACGAGAGCTGTTTTACGGCGCTCTCACCAGGGGCCCTTTGCTGCTACGACAAATCAAACCAAAAGCAGTAGCCAAGCTCGGGCCGGCAGGTGGCGTGGTAGGTAAGGTGCTGGACTCCCACCTGGCTAGCGGTTTGAGTCCTGGACCTAGAGCCTAGGAAATCATGCCGGGCACGTGTGCACACGTACTCAAAATCCCAGGAGGAGAATGGAGAAGGGACTGCAGCATGGCCACCTCCCCCTGGGAAGGCGACTTCTCACTTTCCTTCTCACTGTCTCTGTCTCTCTGATGAGAGCACACGCCCTATGGCAAAAGCTTAAAAAGAAAGGGAAAGAAAGCCATGACGCTGCGCGGAGGGTGGAGAGGCTGAGAGAGCCTAACCCTGTGGGCAGGGGTCGGAGGTGTTGGCGGTGTCTCCTGCTTCGGGAAAGTGACCATGTGGGAGGAAGGAAAACACGCCCAGGGATGGTCGCTACCCAGAGAGACGCCTCTCCACCAGCTGGGGCTGCTCCTCGGGCCACGCAGTTAAGACCAGGACTCCCACAGCACTCCCCGTCAGGCTAGCACGCTCTCAAACGGAGAATTTGCAGGACACGCGTTGGCCTGTGGTCGGTCCGACCGTCTTCCAGTCACGCGTGCACAACGCGCAGTGTGCCGAGCGTCCTCCGTGGGCGTGAGCCACGACTGCGAATCTCAGCCGTACTCCAGGTGTGTTCACGGACAACATTTAGATGTTATTTTAAATACCTACATTTCAGCAAAACGTCTAAAACGGACTCATTTCATTTTTAAGTGAAAATTGTTTGCCAGACTTCTGGTCAACTGTGAAGGTCGGTGTACAAATCTGTACATTTGTACATACCATCCGTGCGCATCCTCCGGCAGCGACGTGCTCCGACATGCGTGCACCCCGCTACGTGATTTCAGTAGCTCTTTCTCAATAGAAAGTCAAATCACAGACGTTATAGGCTTTTAGTTCGGTTCGTTTTCATTTGATTCGTTTGTGTTTTGAATATTGCATGAGAAATACCACCTCTTTTGTACTTTAGTTTTGGTTTGGGGTGCTTTCAGTCCTGTGGCATTTGTAGTCATCACTCTTTCAGTCATGTAAGTTAAAGTAAAACTTATTTTGAATTACCGTCTCATGGACAGAGTCTGCAATCTCTGTTCCAAGTGCTCTTCTTGAAGCGGTGTCTGCAGCATACACGCCTCACCCCCCCTGGGGATTGTTTTTCCCTTGAAGTCCCTTCCCCTGGGAACAGGACAGAACTCTGGGATCCGCAGAGCTGAATGGAGAGAAGGCTTGTCCGCGTGGCGTCCCGCGGCTCCGAGCAGACTTGGCTTCGGGGTACGTAGAACACCAGCGTAGCCGCGTGTCCCAGCCCGAGCCCGGACCTGCATCAGCGCAGGCCCCGAGGAGCCCAGTCCTTGGCAGGTGCTTGCAGGGACTCTGTAGCAGTGAGTGCCTTCAGAGTCGGCAGTAACCAGTCTGCCCTGGGGTTTGGTGCTGTGTCACCGAACTGCCTCGTCACTCCACAGCCCTGCACAGTAACTGTAACCCCAAATGCAGGGAACACCTGTGCTTCTCACCGGGCCAGAGAAGCCGTGGGCTGGACTGGGGCACGCTGGACCCGCTGGGGAAGAGCCCGGTGTGCATCGCAAGACCGACCGCGCAGTCCTGGCTGGCTGGGACCACGGTGGGTCACAGCGGAGTCTGGCCATTAAGTGTGCCTCTTTGTCTTTCTCTTTCTCATGGAAATAAACTTACAAAAAGAGAGAAAGTCACACCTACTGGCATGGTGGTTAAAGGCACTGGATGCCCACATGACCAGCCGCGGTTCGAGTCCCAGAGCTGGCAGCTTGCTTTCTCACTTTCCCTCTCTCTCTGGTGAGAGCACATGCCCTATGGAAGATTAAATAAGAAGAAGAAACAAAATTAAATGATTATTCTTTAAAAGGGGAAAGGGGGCATTAAAAAGTTACTCAAATTAAAAAATCTTTTTGCCTCTGACATTTTCTTGGAGATTACTTCTTATTAAGCAGCTATTGCACTTTGGCTCTGAGAAAGCTCTGAGGCGCTGGCCCCAGAGCCTGGTGGGTCAGGGGGCCAGATCCCACCCGGTTGATCACGCCGATTGACCCCAACGGCTTAAAGACAGCACCGGAGGCCAGCCGGCAGTGTGGAGGCCAAGGCACTCGGATCCCACACGCCCGACTGCCGTTCGAGTCCTAGACCCGGCAGCCTGAGAAACACACCAGGCGTGCACACGTGCCCGAAACCCTGCAGGGAGACGGGACGAGCTGCAGCAGGACCAGCCCCGGGCGGTGCTTTCTCGTGTTGTCTCAGAGAGTGCACACGCCGCCCAGTAAATGAAAACAAACGAACCACGGGCACAGGTGCCACGAGCCCGAGACCCAGCAGGGTGGACAAGGAGGCGAGCCCGGCACTGAGCGCCCCTGAGAAGGGCTTTCCCCGCCCAGCCTCCGGGAAGCACGCGCACCCTCGGCTATAAAGAAGTTCTGGGCAGGGAACGGTAGTGGTCTGCTGAAAAGCAGGTCTCTGGGCACCAGCACATGGCACAGTGGTCACATCGCTGGACTCCCACACGGCCAACCGCAGTTCGAGCCCTGGACCGGGTGGCTGCCTTTCCCTCTCCATCTGTCTGTCTGGTGAGCACGTGTGTCCTGTAACAGATTCAACACAGCCCACGTAAGGTGCTCACACCTAAGTCCACACTGAGCAGCGGGATGGGGTCAGTGCATCCGCCACCTGAGAGAGATGCACAGACGCAGGAGAACGCCCGGGCATTCAGACACGGGACACGGTACCATGACAGACACGGGACACGGTACCATGACAGACTCCCACTGCTAAACTCACCGGGCCCCAACCCAGGCAGCTGTCCTCGGCCGACCTGCACGCCTTCGGGCCTGGAGTGGAGCCTTTCCTATTTGAAATCCTCACTTTCCTGTTAGAACTTCTCTTTTCCTAAATGATAATAACAATAAATAAATAATTCTTTAAACAATAAAAACGACCCCTGTAGGCACGTTTGGCAACTCTTCCCAGAGCTATGCTGTAAAAGGGTGGAGGGGCCCGGCAGGGCCGTGGTGGCTCAAAGCGTGGACTCCCACACGGCCGACTGTGGTCGAGTCCTGGAACTACTGACTCGCTTTCTCGATTTCTGTTTTGTTCTTTCTCTTTTTTTTCTTTCAGAAGTTTTTGCTGTAGGGCGCATGTGCTCGCTGGAAAGACAGAGACAGAGAGACAGAAAGTGAGAAATCGCCCCCCAGGGGGGATGGTCACGCCGCAATCCCTTCTCCATTCTCCTCTCGGGATCTTGGGTACACACGCACACGCGCCCGGCGTGAGTTTAAGCCACCGGGTCCGGGACGAGAACCGCGGTCGACTACATGGGAGTCCAGTGACATAGCCATTATGCTAACTGCTGGTCCCAAGATAATTCTTTTTTTAAAAAAAACAAGTGGGTGAGACGTGAACGCGCAGGGGTGGGGCGAGGCACGGCGGCCAGCAGGCCGTCCGTGTTGGGGAGCAGGTGTGCCCGGTTGTGCCGGAGCCCCCGTGGAGGTGGGCAGGGAAGAAGCGCATGGTGGGCCTGAGCAGGCAGCCCTGGTTAGTCTCCACAGTGGGGTCTCCCTAGCAACGGGGACTTCATGGGGGGACTCGGGACTCCCTCAGTAAGGGGTAGATCCGGGAGGCGGGAAGAGCTCAGGACAGCAGGCGTGGCCGCAGGAGAGGGGCGCGTGTTCCGGGCGGCTCTGCACACAGGGCCGTCACACTGGGGCTCTTCACACCGCGGGGTCCGAGGCCAGGCCAAAGAACACGGTGAGGCCCTGCGACCCGACGGCGTCCCGGCAGCAGCGTCCGTTCTGGGGTTGCTAAGAGGCAGTTCCAGAGCTCGGCCGGAGCGCGGCCCTTCCAGGCGATGGCTAAGAGACGGTTTTTCGGTAGGCGAGTTTGGGTCCGGATCCGCAAGTGCTTTGTGAGGCTGCGTGAAAGCCTCCGGGAGTTCTGGAGTGTCACCGTGAAGGGCCTCTTCGTCGCGAGGGAGGAGGAGCACGTCTCTTCGACCGAGAGCATTTTTCACAAAGACAAGATCACGGCGCTCGGCCACGTGCTGAGGAATGACTCTGTCCGCGTGGAGCGCAGGGCGCAGGCCGCGCAGAAGATCGGGCTGCTGGCCTTCACGGGTACGCAGCTGGCCCTGCGGGCGCTCGGCGTGCCAGGACCCCGACTCAGCCAGCTGCGTGCCAGGCCTAGTCCCACACTTCAAAACTCCCCTTTGAGTATTAGGTTTTGGGCCTCGGACCAGCAGCGTGAAAATCACCGCGGCATGTGTGTGTGTGTGTGTGTGTGTGTGCACACCCCACACACACACGTCCTGAGAGGGGGGCGGAGGAGGAGGGATTGTGGCGGGGCCACCCCTCCATGCGGTGGGGGGACTCCTCAGTCCCTCTCTCTGCGCCGCTCTCTGGTGAGCGCTTGCGCCCTAAAATCCAAACAGAAAAGGAGGCCAGGTTCTGGTCCTCACACCAGCAAAGGCACGCCCCGCTGCCGGTTCAAGGCCTCCCGTTCTAGCCGAGCGTGTTCCGTGTTCACCGTCCGTTTCCGTAAACACGTGCTCGGCATGCATCAGTCCTCAGTCACACGCAGAGGTCTGTCTGAGCTGGCACCACTCAAACCCAGTGCTGTGCTTCAGTGCCGAGTAAGGCTGAGTACTTCCTATCTTGTAAAAATACGCGACCCAGGCAGGTCTCGGGAAAATTCTAAGGACGCAGCGCTCTCAGAACGGCTGTGAGAAAGCCGCAGGTGCGTCGCGAGGGGCGGCAGTTCTAGAAAGCAAAGGCAACCATTTAGACTCCGGCTGCTCTGAGGGCCTGAGGAGCAGGCTCCTTTCTGGGGGAGAGGCTTTTGCTACGGGGCACGTGCACTCGCCACAGCAACAGAGACAGAGACCAAAAGCTAGAAACGGCCCTTCTCCTCAGGATTCTGGGCACGCACGCGCACCCGGAGTCTCAAGCCTCCAGGTCCAGGACTGGCTGCACTGTGCCTCGGGAGGGTCCAGTGACATAGCCATGACGCCATCTGCCAGTCCCTGCAGAGTTAGCGGGCGGGACTGTGGCGGCGTAAGAGCTAAGGGGAAGCAGCGGCATGAAAGCCCAGTGGCTAGAACCCGGGCAGCTGTCTGCTCGCCTCACCGTGTAAGCACCTTTCATCCAGTGCCTGCTTTGGCTGGTACCTTGACAGTTCGAGGTTTGAAACAGGAAGATCTGGGGTTCGGGCATACGGTGGGACAGACTCCAGGACCAGGCTGGGGCAGAAGCCAGAGCTAGAAACCCCAGCCCGGCCGAGGTCGGGTGACACACGTGTACACACCACTCAGGGCCGCTCCTGCAGCCAGACGCCGGCGTGGCTGCTCTGCCCTGGGGTTTTCTCGGCACTTCTGGCTTTTCCAGTACCGAGACAGAGGACGAGGCTGGAGGGGGGCCACTACACCACACGGCCTGGTTTTATCCTCCTTGAAACGCTCCCAGGTACTCGACTCAAGGGACCAGGGAGTGGCCTGGGTGGGAGGGGGCTTTGTTTTTCGTTTGAATGTGCCATAGGGCACACGCTGCCCCCACTGGAGAGAGACAGAGACCTCTAATCTCCTCCTGGGGTTCTGAGCACACGCGTGCACATACCTGGTGTGTTTTTCAAGCCACTGGGTCCTGGGCTCAAACCTTGCAGTCAGCCACGTGGGGTTCAGCCACATGGGGTCCAGCCGCCTGGGTCACCACCTGCCGGCCTGGCGAGCTTTCTCGTCTGCAGCACAGGAGCGGGAGACACAGAGGAAAATCGGTATATCCGGAGTGCGGCTGTCGGAGCACGCCAGCAAGCCAGACAGCGCTCCAAGTACGTCCCGAACACACCAGAACTTCCGGACACCAAGTGCTTTCTTTTCACAGGAGGACCCGTCGCCGGGAAGTTTGCAGCCGAGTACATGAGGGAAGTGGCTGACTTGCTGCGGAAGCCGGAGGTGACCCCCAAGGCAAAGATCCAGCTTCTCCAAGGCCTCGCCTGCTGGTGTTACTTGAACCCTGTCGCCCAAAGGAGGGCCAGGCAGCTGCAGTTTCTTCCGACTCTCATTAGTTTTTTTGAAACCAGACTCGAGTCCACTAAGAAAAGTGAGATCAGCAGCTGCCACCTCCTCAAGTTCTGGACGTGCTACTCGCTCTCCGTCATGGCCTGCAACAACCTGCCTCTCATCAAGGAGCTCAAGGAGAACGGTATCCTCAAGTACCACCTGCAGGCCATGGCCACCGAGAACTGGTCAGGGTGGTCCGAGAACTTTGCCGAGGTGCTCTACTTCCTGATCGGCTTCCACAGGAGCTGAGTGCTCCGCACCGTGGTGACAGCTTCCTGTGCTACCGGGCTGCCCGGAGCCCCAGTAAAGGTCGGTCCACACTTGACTCTGCGCGCTTCCTTTTCAGGCTAGCGATGGCCCGACGCGACGTTCGCAGCGCGGGTTCTCATGGTTAGCTGGCACTGACCGCTCTCTGAACACCCGAGGGCCGACCCCACAGCCGGCGGTGAGGAGAGCTGGATTCCGCAAGGCCGATGGTTCACATCCTGGCACGTGTGCGAGCGTGTGCCCCAAATCCCCAGATGGAGAAACGGAGTGTGACCACACCCCACTGGCCCCCCCCCCCCCCCCGTCTCCCTCTGGCAAGCACACGTGTCCTCACGAGTATGTGCTCTCCTATGGGAGCAAGACCAAATCACGCAGGTGAGTACAACGGGACCAGCAGATGGCCTTAGTTACCTTGTTGAACTCCCACATAGTCAGCCGCGGTTCGAGTCCCAGGTCTGCCAGCTTAGAACTCATGCTGGGAGCAGGTGTTATGCGTGCCCAAACTGCTGAAGATGGAGGGATTGCAGCCTGGCCATCCCCCGGGGCTGATTTCTCACTGTCTCTGGCAATACGTGACCGATAGCAAAAATCTGAGGAAGAAAGACATAATGGGGTGCAGGGTTACAAAATCACGGGGCTGGAGCTGGAGCGTGACCCCGCTGCCCCGAGATGGCCAGTGAGAACTGTCTCTCAAGTTGACTCGAAGGTCTATTTCATTGGTCGGCCTGGGGCCTGGTGGCTGTGGGAGATGGACCCCACATGGATGTGTGCAGTTCAAGTCCCAGACCCAGTGGCTGGATAAACATGCCGGGCACGTGTATGTGCTCGCTCACCCAGTCCTGGTAGGGTGGAGAGACAGAGGGAGGATGGTGGCATGGCCATTCCCCATGGGGGAGGGGGTTCTCCTCTGCTCAAGAGAGCATCCAACCTTTGGCAAAAAAACCCATGGATCTCGTATTGATTCCATGTTAGGTTCTTATAATACTGCCTATTTCCTTGGTGATTCTTAAGGAAGTTTTTCATTCACTTCTTCCATGAGAGAAGCAAAGAAAGAAAATCACCCCCAGCAGGGCCTGAGCACCACGACCTACCGCGGCCTCAGGCAGCCTCAGGCCAGGGTACACCGAGCCTGGCGTGCTCAGACTGCCGCGGCGTTGCCCTACTCCTGCCCTACTGTCTGGGCCCTACACTGTCCCGTAAGCCTGAAGGACAGGGCTGGGAGAGCTTCGGGGTAGCTACCGTGTGGACGCCACTGGAGCGCGCCCAGAGAGCACCAGGGCTCCCCGTCCCTGCCCAGCGCTTCCCCGCAGTTCTTTTTTTTTTTGGAGAAGTTTTTCCTACTGGGCGCGTGCGCTCGCCAGACAGACAGACAGACAGAAAGCAAGAAATCACTCCCCGGGGGGATGGCCACGCCGCAATCCCTTCTCCTCCATTCTCCTCTCGGGATCTTGGGCACACACGCACACGCGCCCGGCGTGAGATTTAAGCCACCGAGTCCGGGACACGAACCGCGGTCGACTATATGGGAGTCTAGCGACATAGCCATTACGCTAACTGCTGGTTCCCACAATACATTTTTTAACATTAAACAGAAATAGCAATATGGGTCCAGCAGGTGGCATGGTGGTTAAAGCACTGGATCCCACATGGCCAACTCTGAGGTCTGAGTCCCAGACCCAGCACTTGAAAAACACACTGGGCCTGCATGCAAGCATCCCCTAAATCCTGGGAGAGCTGAGAAGGGTATGGCGCGGCCACCTGCCCTGGAGGGAGAGTCCTCACTGTGTCTCTGTCGAGCCCAAACACCCAGCAACATGCACCCCATCCCCGCCCTGGCAGTCTGTGCCTGTGCGAAGCCCCCCCCGGGGTGGTCCGTGCGCACAAACTGCCCGCCCCTCGGTGAACACACACTCGGCCCATGCTGCTCGCTTCGCAGTGTCCTCTTCCCTCCTTCCCTGCTCAGACCTTCCACATGGGAGCCCGTACTCAGGTCTCGTCCTCTTACCCCTGCCTGCCTACCCTGCGGTCTCTACCGCTGTGAGTAAACAGCAAGTCTTAGCTGTCACCTCTTCTGCGTCTTCACTGGGCTCCACCTGCCCACCTGACTTCGCTAGGCGACCACCACCACCCACCACCCTGTGCTTCTTAAACAGGGCGACTGTACCTAAGTCAGCCGAGCCTGCCCCTGGCTAGTCAGATCCACCTGGGAAAGTTTTGGAAACTGGATTCTCATGCTCCATTCCAAAAGCCACTCAGCGAGGGTATCCAGGTATGGGATCTGAAATCAAGTGTTTACCAAGAACATGAGGTGTAACCAGACTTGGGAGCTCAAGCTTGAGCTCTCTAAGTCTAGAGAGAAATTCATTTCTTGTTTCCTCCGAGATAGCTACAGAGGAAAAGAAAGAAAACATAAACATGCAGACTCTTCATATGTCTTCCAAAATACGCACACGTGTTCGACAGGAGACTGAAATTTCACGTTTATTTAGAATATACACAAGCCGTGCCTGACAACTAAGAAAATACTATTTACATAAAACACTGCAGATTTAAAATACACAGTATTTGTATTAGTACAGTAGGGCCCAGGACTCACACTGAGCTTTACTCCACCTGCGCGTTACGCGGTTTACCCGCTCTGTTACAAACAACGCCAGTGGGGGCAGACCCCGGCAGCCGGCACCCCGCGTCACACAGCAGTGAACCTCACGTGCGCGGCCTGGGGTCTGTGGAGGAAGAGGCGGGGTCTTCAGCGTGCCTGCCAGTTTCCGGGTCTTCCGCTTCAGAATCCTCACCCGGTTCTTCAGAATCAAATTCTTGACTATCCGGGGAGTCAACGTCATTCAGGGGTTCGCCGGTCAGTCTCTTTAAAAGAACCAACCAACCGTTCGTTACAGAAACTTTAATACCCAAGCCCACTGTCAGTTACTGACTGTCGGTTACTGACGCCACGCCCACAAGGTTGGAAGGAGACAGATCCTTTTCTTCCCCCCGGAAACTCACCCCACCGTCTGTCTCCACCACGCCGAGTGGAGTTCCAGCAGCTTCACGGGGTTACGCGTGCTACTTTCTCTAGACACGGAAATGCTCTCGGAATACAAGTTAAAGGGCTGCCAGCGAGCCGCATGAAGAACGCAGTGCCCTAAACGGCCTGGCCTGTCTCAGACAGTTAAGGGGTACCGTGGTACTCCAAGCCCGAACCTCTAAGGCAGGGCTGCGGTGGCACGGAAGGTCAGGCATGGGGAAAGCTTCCATTTGGAAAACTTTCCGACGAGCAAGATGGATTTTTCACTTACAGACGTAAGTTAAGACCTGTCCTAGGCCAGTCTAGGCCAGTACCAGTTACTAGGCTAATTCACACACTGGCTACTCAAGGTTTTAAGTCACCTAAACCGCCAAATGTATTCAGCGCACCAATTAAGTTTCATAAATGACAGTAACGTCACCTAGTAATTAGAGTAAAAACGACCTAAAAGCGTGCCAACTCTTAGTCACTTCCCATATATTTCTCAAATATTAAGTTAGTAACTCCGAGGAGACGGGTATTCTCTTGCTGCACAGGAACAGCTACAGCAGTCCCTGGCTTCCTGCACGGACAGCTGTCCTCCTGCCACAACCCATTCCATTTCCAAGTCTCACAAAACAGACATTCTACTCCACTGCAGACGAGGAGAACCAAGTCCGGACAGGATCTAACAAACACGTCACGTTACGTCCTGCAGGGAGCTAAGACGCAAAGCCAGAGCCGGAGCCGCCCCGTGCGCAGGACAGACCATGAACCGGAGTAGGGAAGCCCACCTCGATGACCTCCGCCATGTGCCGCGCGTGCTCGGCCAACTCTGCCAGCTCCTCGTTCTCCTTCTTCAGGCGGGCGATCTCACTGTCCTTCTGCTCAATTTCTTTGTGAAGCTGTACAACACGAACAAGGCTCAGCGGTGTAGAAGCCACAGCGCACACCAGACCCTAGGCCTCCAGGGCACGACCCTGGGGGACACGCAGCACGCTGGCTGGCTCTCAGCCTGGCGAGGCCTGCGTTTCCGTGTAACCCTGGTAACGCAGCTACCTTTCACTTCACCTTCCAAGGCCGCGTGGAGCCGCCCCGTCCTGCCCTGGCTGTGCTGCGCGGCAGAGGACGCGCCCCGAGTCGCTCCAAGTGGCAGAGATCAGACTAGGTACGTACTTTCTCATTCTCCTGAAGTGCCTCATAGAGAGCCTTCCTCCGCTTTTCTGCCACTTCTTTCCAATACTGAGAAGACGGATTCTCTGAAATAAATATTTCACATGTAACTGAAGTGTCATTACTGGAAAAACGCCCAGACCTTTTCTACTGTAAAATATCTTCCAAAGTCACGCAGTATACCCGCGGTACCTACTACCTCCTACAAGTGGGAGCGCGCCAATTTCTCTATTGTACGTTCCAACATGTTAAGGGTTTCCATCCTTCAGAGAAAGGCAACAAAAGCACAAGAAGTGCGCACACACCTTCCACCCGGATTGTCGGGGACTTCTGCATCAGTTGTTTTGTGTATTTTCGCGTAACACACACATTTTTTAAAAGTCCGGATCAGTTCTTTTGTACGTCGTCCTGAATTCTGGGTGAGATGGAGGCTACACATCATGCCAATCCATCACGCCACTGCAGACGTGAGTCTGACCGTGCGGCTGACACTGCCTACCAGGGTGTCCTTGTGAAGACGCTTCCCCTGGTAACAAGTAACCTGTGAGGTAAGATGCTAGTCTGCGCCAGTACCTCGTCCGCCACAACCTTCCCCAGTTCTACCTCCACTGGTAGCTCCTATCTACACCCATACTTCTACGCTGAGAGAAAACTAGTAATCAGTTTACATCATTTCTCCTACACGTGCGAATTGGCATTATTCCTTAAAAACTTTCCACACGGCTGGCAGGCGGTGTGGTGGATAAGGGCGCTGGATTCCCACGTGGCCAACCATGGGTCAAGTCCCAGACCTGGTGGCTTGCTTTCTCGCTTTCCCTTTCTCTCTCTCTGGTGGTCAAATCAAAAAATACTAACAAATGGAATTAAGTAAATAATTCTTAAAAAAAAAAAAAAACCTTTCCACCGCTATCTTTTTTTTTTGGAGACAAAAGGCAAGAAATCGCCCCCTGGGGGGATAGCTATGCCTCATCCCTTCTCCTCCATTCCCCTCTTGGGATTTTGGGGGCATGCATGCACATGCACCCGACCTGGGTTTCGTGCCACCGGGTCCAGGACTTGAACTGCAGATGGCCATGAGTAGTCCGGTACCTTAACCACTACACCACCTGCTGGCCCCTTGTACGCCACTCGAAATCCGTACTTAGGGGACCAGGACGTGGTGCAGAGGTCAAGATGGCCCACTGAAATCCCGTCTCTCACCCTCCTCCTGGGGGCGGGGCATGCACACGTACACAGCCAGTGCAATTTTCAAGGCACCAGGTCCAAGACTGGGTCGGCACCTTCACCACACCGCCTGCTGGCTCCTGTACGGCTTTCTCTAAACTACTACACCACCACCGACACGAACTTAGTACACTTCAGGACTTCTCTGCAGTTCTTTTAATTCTTACAATATGTTCTACCAAGGGCCTACAAAGAGTTTTGTGTTCAAGTTTTTATTTTGGCATTTCGATTTATCTCTACCAGTCCCCACAGATCTAACTTTACCCAAATCAGACATGAATGTAACAAATCACGTTTATTCTGTAACGTTGTTAAAAAGCTTATTTTTCTATCCAGTCCATCTTTCTTCATTTTGCCTTTTAAAACCTTCCTGGGGCCAGTCGATGGCATGGTGGTTAGGGTGACTGCAGCCCGTGTGACCGAGTGTACAGGACAAGAACCGGGGACCTGGGAAATTTGCCAGGCACATGTGGGTGCATGCCCAGAATCGCACGAGGAGAATGGAGGAGAGGGATGACAGTGTGTCCATCCACCCTGGAGGGTGCTTCCTCACTTTCCCTCTGGAGAATGCATCTGCACTGCAACAAAGGAAAAAAAGAAAAAGAAGAAACCCTGTCTACTTAGCTCCTTCACTATCTTCCAGGCCACGTGGACCAAGCCCACATGCTCACTGGGGCGAAACACTCGTCTTAGTCCCTCTACTTCAGCTGTTTCTACGACGTTCTCTATCACTTCACATTCTCCTGGAACATCCAAATTCCTTTCTTACTTCGAATTCTTCCTCTCCACATTTGTGAAACGCCTCCGTCCAAGTCTTCTAAACGTGGATGTGCACGGCCATCTAACATCGGAGCTACATAGGAGCTGCGGCTCTGCCCTCGGTATGGCACTCAGAGCTGGGTCCTGCCGACGGTCACCGGCGCCCACGTCCAGTCAGGGTTTACGACGACACGGGAACGACCGAGAACGTGTAAGTGACGCGTCCACCAGTACCCCACACCGAGGCACAGCAGGCACGACTCCTTAGCGGTACTGACACATGCTCACCTTAGCATTCCAAATTTAAAGGTAGTTATATAGGTTGATGTACCTTTAATCATAAGATCAAAAGCTTCCTGGGTGACTCCTTGGAGATGTTTATTCTCACTGTATTCTGAACCGGTAACAACTCTGGAGCTGGAAGTCTTGGCTGGCAACTGGTCATTCTGATGTTTCCTTTTGGATAAGCCTTTGGACAACTGCAATGGAAACAATTAATCTCACTTGCCCTAACTCAATGAACAAGAAAGCTGGGTGGGGCCCAGCCTCTGTGCGGCCGCATACAGTGCCCTGTAGGGCTAGAGGCGGCATGGCAGACCCGGGTTCAGATCCCCAGGCGGACCCAAGAACATGCCAGGCACCTGTGTACACCCACGGAGCTGGAGGGCCTCCCTCTAGTGCATACGCTCATGTGCACACACGCTATTGACAGAAGCTGGTGGTCCGTCATCTGTGTGTTTCAGAACAACTTACTGGACCTGCCCATGGCCAAGGGGCTAGGGGACCAGATCTGACCATGGCTCAGATCCCCTTCCTGGTGCCTGAGGAACGCTTCAGGGAGGGGATGCTTTCTCCGCCACCCCGCCGTCTGGCCAGCACACGCCCCTGGCCCTCCTATAGCCGGGCAGGCCTAGCCACAGCGGCCCGCTTGGATGCCACGTGCAAGGCTGGGGCTCAGGTCCCAGGTCACCCCGAACGCACCGAGCTGCAAGACTTGGGACACAAGGGGGTCGTGGGACAGGAGACCCTCTCGTGAGAAAACTAACAAAACAAAAATGAAAACGCTAAATTCAAAAGGTAAAATTATACTTTAGTCATTTTATTTGCAGCAACGATCAATCAGACTTGGGTCTGACTCTTAACTAAAATGACTATTGCTGTACTCACGTACTGTAGTTAAGTTAAATATCATGAAAATGCAATACTGTATTTCTTTTTAAGAGAGAGTTTTGTTTGTTTGTTTTTTACTATAGGGCACGTGTGCTCGCCACAAAGACAGAGAGACAGCAAGAAATCACTCCCTGGAGGGAGGCCAGGCCTCGACCCTGTCTCCTCCATCATCCTTCCGGGATTTTGGACACGCACATGAGTTTTAAGCCACTGGTCCGGGACTCAACGGCGGTCGGCCACGTGGAGTCCAGTGACGTAACATTATGCCGTCTGCTGGTCCAGGATACTATGTTTCCAGCCTGCAAAGTCCAATCACGTTCATCCACGCTTCCAATTACATACCGGGATAAACCAAGGGATCTAACACGTCATTCTCGAAACATGAAAACGCTACTCCTAGGGCCAGCAGATGGCACGGCTGTCGAGGTGCTGGACCCCCACGTGGTTGGCCACGGTCCGAGTCCCGGACCCAGCAGTTCACTTCTTCGCTGTCTCTCCGGCGAGCACATGTGCCCTGTAGCAACTTTTAAACTATTTATAACAAACTTTAAAACAAAACCAAAAAACACTACTCCTACAGGATAATCCACAACTTACTACATCATTCCAGTTCACCAGTAGTCATAGTGATTTTAACTTCCTACCGTGAAAACAACACTTGCACTCCCATATTCTTTGGGAACGTATACTTCCTTATTAAGCTATTTGCACATCTCACTGATCTCGGTGTTTCTGACGAGCTCGTGGCAGTGTCCCCAGCTCGGAGGCAGTGTCGCCTGTGCCCGCGTAGCCCCACATACACACCTTGTCTTCTCTTCCAACAAGAGAGCCCGCTGCGGAAGGCTGGATCATCTTCAGGGTCCTCCTCGGGGCGGAGCTGCCCTGCAAGTCAAGGCAATGCGCGGCCTGTCACTGAGCTGCTCAACGGCTTCCGGTCGCCGAGGCTCTACGCAGGTTGTCAGTCTTGGCTCTAACGCCACTCAGGAAGAAAAGGCCCACCCACGACACACATACTTGACTTGTATGGTCGCATCACGCCGTATGTGAAACGAGACACTGCTTTCACCAACTGCCGTACTTGTTACCCCCAAATTCTAACAGGTTGAGGCCATCCTTCAGAATGGATATTGCCATACAGTAAGTAACAACTTTTCTCTCATTTGCCAATTCATCATCCTTAAAGTCCTGAGCCCTAATTATTCGACTCATATGATGATGAAAATTCCAGTACAAACTGAGTAGATGCAAAAATATCTCTCCACGTAACTAGAAAGCACCTGGCACTCTACCAAGAAGCAGACACCCCAACCCCAGGTACGCACTCAGCGCAGACTGACGGGGTGGCGAGGTTAAGCATTTACACTGCCCAGTGGGTCCCCTACTAAAGAAAGAGTCGTCCAGGTCTCCTTCAAAGTCGATTTCTAAACATACACGTGTTCACCAAAAGTTTAACTGGCAGAAAATACTTTACACGAAACCAAGGACATGTGTAATCACCGCCCCCTGGCCCCGCAGGCCGGTCCCCAGCAGCGGCCGCAGTCTCTGTCCTAATGCATTCGTCAGGGGCAGCTAGGTGTGCTCCAGGCACACGAACGTACCCTACAATGGCCAATCTACTGTCTGGGAAACAATACTGCCTGCCTTGTCAAATGTAAACACCTTTCTGTGCATTTCCTGATCTGAGCGCTCCCTTCGTTTTTCCAAAAAAGTCATTAGTTACACTGCCACCGGGGGCAGCGAACAATGGTGGGTGCCCGGACAAGGCTGGCCGAACACGACACCGCCCGGGCGTGGGAAAAGCGCCGCCCCACACCGCCCTTGACAGGAGAGGTCCCCTTTCCCACGCCGATTACTAGCTCCCTGTGTAACTGAAAGACAAACGCAGCCACCGTGGGAACAAACACCACGCCAACATTTCAGATGGAATTTAGATTATAGATCAGTCAACAGGCGCCAGACAAACAGAAGGAAAAAGAGCTTTGGAACCTTAATGACAGGAGGCGGTCATTCAGTTCAATGTTTGTTTTAATTTTCTCATTTGCTATAAGGTGCGTGCACTCATGAGAGGGAGAGATCCCCCCCAAGGGGACGGCCACACTGCAGTCCCTTCTCCGTTCTCCTCTTGCGCTTTTGAGCCCGTGTGTAAAAGCGCCGGGGGTGGTTTTCGAGCCACTGGGTCCGGGACTCGAAAGGCAGTTAGCCACACAGGATTTGGCCGCCTGAACCCCCACACCACCTGGCTGTCACACAGGTAAGAAATCAGAATCCAGCCTTAGGAAATGTAGTATTACTGAGGCCAGCAGGTGGTGGACAGAGGCACTGGACTCACATGTGGCCGACTGCAGTTAGAGTCCCGGACCAGGAAGCTTGCTTTCCCTCTCTCAAAGAAATAGGAAAAGAAAAAGCAAAAGGAAAGGAAAAAGGGAAAGAAAGTTAAGTAATTATTTAAAAAAGAGCAAACACAGTACCATCATCAATGGTCCGTACACAGAGTTGGGTCTGACTGGAGTAACAGACTTCTAGCGCCACAGCCTTGTTTATATCAATAGGTCCTATCTTTCCAGAAAACACTTTAAGTGCACTCATGTTGGAAGCTGGATCCCACATGGCTGACCGCAGTTCAAATCCTGGCTCTAGCAGCTCAGGGCACACAGCTAGGCATTGTGTGCGTGCGTGCATGCGTGTGTGCACGCTCGCGCCACAAGAGGAAACACAGAAGCGTGAAAATCACACCTGACACCTATGTCTGAATGCCCAAAATCCCAAGAGGGGCTGGAGGACAAGAGTCTGGAGCGGCTGTCCCTCCTGGGTGTGAGCTTTTACCCATCCCCGCCCCACCCATCTGTCTCTCTCTGATAAACACACACCCCCCCATAGCAAAAGCTAAGTAAATAATTAATTTAATTAATTAAATAAATAAGCAAACTTTAAAAAGATGATAATCCAATGGAGCTGTGGCCTGTAGCCCAGGGGTACAGACAGCCAGATCTTACAGGGCAGGTCACACAATCCCAGTTCCAGACCCAGAGGTTTGAAAAACATGCCAGGCACCTGTGTGTGCACACCGGAAATTCTACAAGGAGAGAGAAGTGAAGAAGGGAAGAAGCCGGTGCCGGGCCTGCACACACGGTGCTTTCTCACCTCCCTCTGCCTCTCGGCCTCACTCTCTGACAACCACACGTGCCCTCTAGCAAAATAAAAACACATAAATAAACAGTAATGCAGTGGAGAAAAGGGACATAAAGCGAGACTGACCATAACTGACAACTGCTTTGGTTGACAAAGTAAATTGAGATTATATTCTCGTTTCTACTTTTCAATATTTAAAATGTTTTCATAATAAAAGGGTTAAATACACACAAAGCGTGGTGAGAAGTATCACCCTAAATGGATGCTCGTGGGATCAAATTCACAAATTATAACACACATAATTCAAGAGAAATAATGTAAGAATTCTGAGAAAAGGAGGCAAACCAAAACAACCTATCCAAAAGGATCTAATTTCGTTTATCGATGGCTTTTACGTACTCTATTTAAATATTCGGGATAAGAGTTCATATAGGAGTATCAGCAGCGATTCAAGCGTTACAGAGCAAGTTAGACGACCATGAGCATGATGTACCTCTGAAAAAACGTGCAACAGAATGTGAAGTTTGTGGTCAGACACTAATCTGAAGATAACACAGATTTCATATAACCATTTTATGAAATTAGAGATCAAAATCCAAGACATCCCATGTCCATGGGTCAGACTTAATATTCATAATTAAATTTTAAAAGGTTCTCCATTGTTATCTGTCCTTTAAAAATTCAAGGTTTATAGAGCTCATGGTTCATAAAAATCGCAGCCGTGTTACGCTAGGCTAAATGATGTTAGAATTTTTTAACTGCGCGCTTTCCGAAGCAGATGAAGCGATCATAGCACATACCTTCACATTCTCCTTCGTGTCTTCTTGTTCCTGCTTCATACTGGGGTTCATTGTGCTGCTGCAGCTGGTGGGGCACAACTAGGAATTAAAAAGCAGAATATGGTTTGCACCTGAAGTCGGAGTGTACATTTCTGTGCAAAGTACTTACAACGATAAAAATCGTTGGGCACTGGCAGGTGGAATGGTGGTTAAGGGCACTGGACTCCCACATGGCTGACCGCCGTTGAGTCCCGGACCTGGCAGCTTGCTTTCTCACTTTCCCTCTCTTTCTGCCCTCTCTGATCAAATTAAAAATAAATAGATAAGTAAATAAAGTTTTAAAAATTCCTTTAAAAAATTGTATTACTGTATGAAAGAATTATCTTTCTCTCTTTACCCAAACTCAGCCCTGTCAACGAACGATGAGGGCGACTGAAGTCAGTGATTCTTGGTATCTATGTTCTACACACACACACACACATTTTGGGTGAAAAATCCTGTTACAGGGGCCAGCAGGTGGTATAATGGTTACGTTGCTGAGCTCCCATGTAGCCAACTATGGTTCTGGTTTGAGTCCAAGACCCGGCAGCTTAAAACACACGCTGGGCACGTGTGTGTGCGTGCCCAAAACCCCAAGAGGAGACTGGGATAAAATGGACTGTGGTGTAGTCATCACCCCTGGGGCGATTCCTCACCTTCCGTCTCTGTCTGTCTGATGCACACGCCCTATAGCAAAAATCTTCCTCTAATGCACCTAGGTAACATAATGGTGTCCCAATTACATACAAGGACCTCGAAGATCCGAGGAATGGTCAGCAG